TGAGATTTCCAGATCAGTGACCTGCTTCGCCCCAGGGGCAAAAAGTGGTGAGGTTCCAAGCCGTCAGATCCGAGATTATAACAGCGTCCAATTGGCCGGTAGGGTAGAGAGAGTATCTATCAGTATCGTCTAGGCGTTGGACAGTTGAACTCTTGGAGGTTGACGAATGTGGAGGGCAGAGGTACGCGCCTTCTGGAAGCTTGGACCAAGCGCTAGCGGCCCACCTAGCGTGCTTGGCAGCTTGGCAGATTCCTCGAGACCAAGTGTCTCGGTCCCTACGATCTTTTTCTGAAATTCGGCCAACATTCGTCTATTAAAAGGATACGTGTTACACAGCTAGGCCGTCATGGTACTCCAGGCCATCAAATACAGCCGCGGAAAGCTTGAAATCCTCGACCAGCTCCGTCTACCCCACGAGGAGGTCTTTATAGACATACGAACAGTGCAAGATGCCTGGGATGCCATCCATTCTATGCAGGTCCGAGGAGCTCCAGCAATAGCCATTGTCGCTGCCCTCAGCGTAGCAGTCTGTCTCAGCAATTGCAATAAGAACGGAGCATGTCCCGAGCGCCTCGGACTAGACATGACAGGGTCTGGTTTGATTATTCACAATCTAAGGTTCCTTCTCACGAGTAGACCTACGGCGGTCAATCTTGGGGATGCTGTGAAAAAGCTAGAGAAAGTTGTTTCTTCGGCCCAGGTCACAGCTGGCGCGACTGACTTCAATATTAATGAGGCGTACATACAAGCAGCAGAGCAGATGCTCGTTGATGATGTGCAAGACAATGAGGACATAGGGCGTTTCGGTGCTGATTGGATTCTACGAAATTCCAATTTGATTCCACCAGTTGGGAAGATATCCGTCATTACACACTGCAATACTGGGTAAGCGTTGCTGGCATCTCATGCTCATCTTCTTGATCTCTCTTTAACGCCTTCTCTCAAGTTCTCTGGCAACTGCAGGCTACGGTACCGCTCTGGGTATCGTACGAAGCCTTCATGCTCGTAGTTTCCTCAAACGAGTCTATTACACAGAAACAAGACCGTACAACCAGGGATCTCGCCTCACAGGGTACGAGCTTCTTCATGACAAAATACCAGCAACCCTCATCACAGACTCAATGGTTGGAGCACTCCTCGGTCTTAAAAGGGATTCAGAGAACATCTCTTGCATAATCGTTGGAGCAGACAGGGTGGCTGCAAACGGGGACACCGCAAACAAAATTGGCACGTACGGTTTAGCGACTCTGGCAAGTTTCCACAACGTCAAATTCATAGTGGCAGCGCCACGGACCACCATCGATTTAAGCACGGCTTCTGGCGCAGATATTACGATTGAAGAACGCCCGCCCACCGAGGTAACGACGATGAAAGGCCGTCCTATCAAGCGATTAAAGGACGGAAGCTTAAAAGTTGAAGGCGATATTCAAGAAATCGCTATTGCAGCGGACCTTACCGGCGCTTGGAATCCGGCATTCGATGTGACCTGCCATAGTCTGATTGATTGCATCGTAACCGAGAAAGGGGTTGTCGAGACGAGAGAAGACGGAGATTTCCATCTCGACGAGATCTTCCAAATATGAGCCAGCAGATGCCGGAATGTAACGAATAGGCCACAACTAACATGGCACACATCGATTGAGTTGGAGTCTGGACAGTCAACATGGAAAGGGCTTTCATTGCCTTGCAGAGTACTTGTTGCATCACTTGATGAAAAGACTGGGAGTGAAAAAAGGGGGCAACTGACAGCTTCAGAGTCGCGAACTCAGGTGAGAGAATTGCCCTCCAGCTACCTACTCGCGTCATTAGTAGCCATGTAAAGAGCTTTTCACAGCAAAGTTCTCAGATATGGATGGACATATTAGATACACAGCTATCATTGGGTCAAGAACAGCCCGTTCAAAAGATATAGGGCCCCAAATCCAACAACTATGGATGTTTAGCAAGCAGACGGCGACTCTAGAGTGCTAGTTCACCTGCAAAAGAATAAATAGAGAAATGAAGACGGTTATGTCGTGTCATTAGGAACTAGTATCCTAGCCAGCATGAGGTTGCACCGACGCCAATGCTTTCCCAGAATTCGTCGATCCGAACAAAACGCCGTGCTGGTTATTGGAATCATTGACTCGACTCGGCCATGTCATCTTCAGTCTCCCTTTCCTCCCTCTCTCGGTCACCCTTCCTTATGTTCTCTACCTTTTGCAACGGTTCCTTTACCTTTTCTTTCACCTTATCCTTGGTACTCCGTGTCCCTTCGCCCTTAGCCAGTCCTTCTTGCTGGTCCAAATCCTCCTCGTCACTGCTACTCAAACTGCTACTATCACCCTGTACAACGGCAGTATGCTTTCCCTCCGCCTTCTTTCGTTCTCTTTGTTCATTCTTCCACTTGTCCATCTTCTCTTTGTCGCCGTTGCAATCTAACGTCACGATCTTGATGCCGGGAAGATTCTTCTGCAAGAACTCTTTCAGCTGAGGAAGTAATTTCGCATTGGGCCGATATGTGCCGCTGTCATTGTCGATGATGAGTGAATAGTAGGCTGGATCCTTGGGCGGCTCGTCTTGCGGGGGTCCGTCCCCCATGTCACTTGGAGGGTGTGTGGGTTGGTCGTCAGGAGACCCTTCCTTGTGCGGCGTCTTGAGCCGCCGGATGAAGAACTCGCCAGAGAAGGCAATATAGATGTTCACGTCGCTATGCATAGTATGCTTGCTCAGCAGATCGATTCCAAATTCTTTGCCCGTCTCTGTGAAGCGCCATATCCCGTCTAGTGTCAGCACATAGGTATAAATTCTGCCGCCTTTGTCGTGGTGAACGAGGTCGAGGAATTGGAAGGTCATGTCCCGGGAGGGAGAAGGCAAGGAGCCATATATGGTGTCACGGTCGTAATTGTAGATACGGTTATGTTGGTGGTGTAGGGCGTGGTGGAGGACGCGGCCGCGTAGAGAGGTCGATGTAAACATGCCTTTGACGAACGGTCTGAATTCTACATAACGATGGTAGAGGGATGCAGGGACAGGGCCGGCAAGCTGAATCTGGTTGGCTTGGAAGCTGTGAATAATTTAGCGCGGTGCTCTCCACATGATAGCGACGTTGATATGGCGCTCCTTACGCGTATTTCTCTGTCTTCCCATCTTTGCCTGGCTCTTTTGTACCCGCCAGCCTGCCAACCATGGGACTGAGATGCTGGCTCCAGTTGCAAGGGCCAACAGTCCAGAGTCTACCACCATTATCGGTATCTGTCTTCCCAAGCACTTCCACGCTAATGAACAGTTCGCCGGACATATGAACGCCTCGATTGAACATGGCAGCGCAACCTCGTATCAAGTAGGCGCGCTTGCTCCCCATTCGCTTCTTGATCTTGTAAGACTGATCTCGTATGCCTCCGAATTTATTGGTCAGACTATCAACATACACGTGCACATTGCCTAGGCGGTCATCATGGTCGGCGGGGTCCTCGTCGTAGATTCGCGCTTTGAGCGCAAAGCCATTCGCCGGAACATTGGCCACGATCCATTCTGAATTCCATATCGGATCACAGTTCCTTCTAACAGTAGGCGTACGAAATGTCATGGGGGGGTCTTGTTTGTGTCTTGGCGGCAGGCTCGTGGTCAAAGTAGCAAGCACGTACGGATCCGAAGACATGGTGTTAATGTCAGCCATTGGGAGCTTCGAGGCTCGGTGGAAAGTGAATTTGACATTGAACCCTGGAGGAGCTCGAGGAATGGCAGTGTCATCGAAGCCTCCGGCAGGTTGTGCACCATCATCCTTTTTCTTTCCTTTGCCGTGCTTCTCCGCTTTGGCTTGGAAGGACTCTGCCTTTTGATCGAATTTTGTCGCGTACCCAACGCTGCGGTGGCCATTGGGCTGTGAGACGGCCTTCTCCTCATTCATTGCTGACTGTCTTTTGTAGTTGATAATTGGCCAATTCCGAAGAAGGTCGTAGGTAGAAATTAAAGATTGTCGAAGAAGGCGGGTATTCAAAGTCAGCGCCAAGCTTGATACTTCACTGATAGTACTTTAGCGGGCAAATCCTGTTTACGGGAAGTCCTCGGGAGTGAAGATCAGGGTCTCTGGCTTTTTCTTGGCACGACTTGCTCCCGCCCGCCCCTCACTGCCTCGATCAAAACCCTAAATGCCTAAGAGCTTATTCAGTGTATAAGGTAGCTTGATTTACATGACTAGAGGGTCGCCATCTCGCTATCGAGATTAAGGGGGGTCATCTTAGGGCCCGGGTACCCTATACTAAGGCCCCTGAGCCCGATGATCGCTGGGCTCCCGCGGGCCTAGAGATCGAAAATACTTTATTTTGATACCGACTTCTTTAATCTGAGCTTAATCTTTAAAAATTTTTAAAGTAAATTTAAAAACTATTATTAGTTCAAGATTTCTTTTCTAGAATAAAAAATTCTCGAACATAGAGTCTAGGGAGTTAAAAGAAATCGAGTTTAAGCATCGATTTTACGCGTAAGATAATTTAGCTTAATACTAAACTAATCAACTCTAGATCAAATACAATAATTCTTTATAATAGAAGTAGAATAAGACTTAAGTTTAAGACTTTTTTTTCGAAATTAAATAATCTAAAATATTAAGTTCGAGATAATAAAAGAGAAAAAAGTTGAAAAGAAAAGTTCTAGTTTCAGGAAATTCCCTAATGAATAGCTTAGCAAATCTAATCATATTTCAATACTATAGAGATATAGACTCTCTGATATCTATTATAGTCTTATTAATTAATAGAGTAAAAAGACTTTATTAATAGATAAGCTATTATTATTATCTATAGATATTCTTATAGTCTAAAGAGAAGAACTATTTAGATATAATATTTTCTATTACTTAATCTTTTTTGCCTTTTTTTCTAACCTATTAAGCTATATCTATCCGCTTTATATAGTCTACTCGACGGCGGTTTTAGTTCATATACCATCGAAAAACCCCACTCTCTCCATCCCCTCAAACCCGTTTCCGCGCGTTTCGGAAAGGCTAACAGCATCCTATACTATACATCCGCATCGACCTTCTCCACATACTCCAACCCGCCCCTAATGACCGCGAGGTCGTTATTCCGGGCAAACAACACGTCGCGCCGCGGCGCGACCGCGCAAACCACGTCCCTCGTTCCGGCAAACCAGTCATACGGCACGAAGAAATGCCTCGAGTACGTGATGACCGAACCGTTGTGGCTCTTGAGGGTCTCGAGATCGGCCGAGCAGACCCAGGAGTGGGTGTCGAGGAAGACGAGCTGGTTGGCGTCATTATTGCCGAGGCCGATAACGTGAGCGACGCGGCGGGCGAGGGCCGCGAGCTGAGGGACGAGCAGAAGCGGGGTCGAGACTGCCGTATCCGTGGCGGCGGTTTCTTCTATTGTTCTTGTTGTGGTTGTTGTTGTTGAGACCTTGTCCACGTCTTGACTCTCTGTGGCTGCCTCGGCAATGCTTCCATTCCGCGAGAAATCCTCGAAATTGTTGAAATAGACGGAATCGAGGAGCTGTAGGCCGCGTGTATCTGGCGAGCCATCCAGCTCGCAGAGCTCGACGAGGACTTGGCATCGACGGCCTGAAGTATAAGGGGTGGCGCTCTTCAATTGGAGTCCCCTTATGTCAGCTATAAGATGTACACACGCTACTTCTGACCAGTCCGTCCAGGTGTAGATTCGAGCGACTGCACCTTCAATACAAATCATGTGGAGGGGCGACTGCTGGTGCTGTATCCACTTTCGGATCCCTATCGTGTCCGAATAAGTTCTCTCATCCTCCTGCTGGCCGTCAGTAGTCCAAAGGTGGTCTGATTGACGGGTTGACATGATGAACTTGCCAGCTGTCGCGCCTGGTAAGACCTGGATGATAGCCTTTCCGCAGTCCAGGCGAGACTGGAACACTAGTTTTTCGGTGACCCATCCCTCCTTCTGCGACATTTGCAATTTCCACGCGAGGAGCCCGTTTGACGCGTCGACGCTCATGATAATATCGCCTTGAGGCCACAAGGTGAGGATACGGACCAGGGACTTATGGCGGTAGAGCACTCGTATCTCGGTTCCAGTTTTGAGGTCGTACAAGGAAACGGTCCCATCATCCTTACCGCAGAACACTGCATCTCCCTTGGGATGTATAGCCATAGCACTTATCCTGGCTTTAGTATCTGAAGAGACCACATCGACGACTGAGGTTGATGTGCCTTCGCTACTTGAGTCACCCAAAGAGTCCCGTAGCAGGACTGCAGGTTCCCAGACATTGCAATGTGACCCTCTAATGTCAGAGAACCGGAGGCTGTCTCTGCTAAAAGCCAGTTGCTTGATGTAGACGTTGGAAGACTTGACCCGGTAGAGCAATCGCAGCGTGTCAAATTCATAGACCTGGACTGTTCCCCCCCCAGCGCCACCTGCGAGTAAGCGTCCATCCGGGCTGGCAGCGAGCGTATGGCAGTCTGCGCGGAAGCTCTCCAACTCGTGATCATCAAACGGATCAATGAGTACGAGTTCACCATCGAGATAAGATGATGCGATGAGGCCGATATTTGGGTTTGGGTTGAAAACGATGGCGGTGACCATATGTGTACTCGTCTCGCCAGTAGCCAACTTCTTGCCGCAGCTACCGTAATATGCATCTTCCTCAAGGTCCCAGAGTATTATCGGTCGACCGCTATAAGCAACAGCCATCATTTTGTGGCTCACGGCGATGGATATAGCACACGGTGTACGATGTAACCGCGTGTCCAAGAACTCACCTGAGTCACTCCATGGCCTGTTATGTTGCTGGGCACCGGCATTATCGAGATCCCATGACGCAATGTAGTTTTTCGATGACGCAGCTATTAGAAAGTTCTGGTCAAAGGCGAGATCCATAAAGCGTTGAGGGGCATGGAACTTGTGGATAATTTCGCCCGTGTAGGTGTCCCAGATCCGGATCGCCTTTATTCCGCAAGATGCCATCAATCCCGTCTTGCTCTTGAATCGCAGAATTCTCACAGACTCACCATGATTTATCATCTTGTATTCCTGAAACGACGTCGCATGGTACAAGGCAACCATTCCAGTAGTCAAGCCGACTGCAAAGAAATCATCTCCGTGACAAATGGCGCTGGTCTGGCCTTCATGAAAGTCGATGCAAGACAACCGGTCATCCCACTGAGCATTTGAGAGACCTACCACAGAGAGCTTCCGCCCATGGTTTGCAGTCTTGTGAATTGCAGACTCCGTAGGACAGAATGGCAGGATCAGGGAATAAATCGCTGAAGGTGACATTGTGAGAGCATCAGCAAACTTCGCAACAATGCGGACAAAGTCTGTTGTCCAGCCACTGATCGTCTGCACCGACCGGTCAAACGGTGACCTTTCGGTAGCGCATGAGGCGAGATATGCCCTAAGATGCTTCGCGGCGCGAATTAAAGGGATGAGATCATGTGTTCGGGCAACGAACTCGATCCATGACAGGACATTTGCCTTCAAGAATTTGTCGACAAGAAAGAAGACATCGTTGGCAAAGGGGCTAGCCCTGGCTAGATGATACGAGAATGCGCTACAGGCGTAAATTGAAAATTTGGCCCTTTTGCCCGCGATGTCCAAGGCAGAACCACGTCTGCCGGTCCGAGGAGGTCTCATCTCCTCCCCCGTGAGATACGTGAGACATGCTCTAGCAAGCCTCGTGTGTGCTTCCGTTTTGTTGACAGCGAATTCGGATTCCAAGTCATCGCTCAATAGGAATTCTCTGGCCGTTCCATGCACCATCTGCACCTTGCCGAACTTATCAACATTCACAAAGTGGCCACAAAGTACCTGGATACACTCCTCAAGTTTAGGAAAATTATCCTTGATGTCCAATGTCAGAGCGCCTTCAAGCTCCTTCATTGTCATTGGCCTTGTTGCACATGTTGTCCAGGTGAGAATAGCTTTAGCGAGCTTCTTCCCACCCGGGGCTTGCGTCATCAATTCCAGTGTCCTATGGTATAAGGGTTCCATATCCTTAGGAATCTCCTTGAGAGCTTTGCTTATTTCTTGCTCACCGTAGGAATTGGACAATTCACTAATGACCAAGACTGTCCACAGGAAAGATCCTTCCGATTTCGCCAGTATCTTTTCTACCAATGTAGCACGATCCTTGTCGTCTTTCAAAGTTATAGACTTCGCCTTCGCCTCAACCAAAAGCTTAATGTCAGGCAGAGTATCCGCTGTTGAGATCTTTTCATGCTGAAATCGATGAGTGCCGAGACTTAAGAAATGGTTGGCCAATTTAGGAGTCTCTCGGCTCGTGATCAAAACTCGTAACGGTGTGGACTGGTCAAGCTTCGCCAGCATTGAATCGAAAAATGATACGTAATTTGTACATTCATCTAGCGCATCAATGACCCAGTATTGCTCTGGAATTGCCATCTGGAAAATGCCACGCAGGAACAGTGCATGCCATATAGTGCGTTCGTTATCCTTGTCAAATCTCATACCATCTTCCTGCATCTCCAAGAGCGTGTCTCGCACCTGGGTGTTAGTACAAGCCATTTGGAAAGCCAGAGACCGAAGACAGGCACTAAGCCGCGACTTAGATTTGTCGCCGTATTTGAAGAAAAAGTAGCTGCAGTCTGCGTTGAGGTTTTCTAAATGACCAACTGCATAGCCTGCGAGAACAGACTTGCCAGCCGCCGGTTTTCCAGTGACCCAGAGCACACTTGGAGCTTCTAGAGCAAAGGTACTCCATCTCAAGTAGCTTTCTTTCGCTGAAAACCACTCGCAGGTTCCCGCCATACGGGCATCTTCGCTGGCGACGAGGTCATCTGCTGATCTCTCAGGTATCTGTAGGTATTGTTCCAGGTCCTTGATCTGCATGTGCCGTGTTCTCTCTTTCGATCTCAGCACTATCAAAATATTGAGCACATTCGCCATGAACTTTATGGTTTGCCCTACCTAGGTTGGAGGTAGTTTGAACCATGGACGCAAGCGCGTTGCGAATGACTACGTAGTTGGGGTCTGTCGGTGTCTCAAATTTGCAAATTGAACGGTGATCAGCATTCATCGGTATTTGCTTTTCTTCACGATAACCTAGCGTGGCCGAGTCGGGATCAACGATGAGCGTGCTAAGGATCCCAATTTTGAGCTTTTGTGTCTCGTAGAACGACCAGAGATCTACGTCAGCACTATAGTTGCGAAACTCATCATTGATAGACTGGACAGCTCCGGAGCCTCGCTCAAGGTCAGCAACGTAGGCACGGGACGAATAGGCAAAGTGCAGAATGTTGTTCAGGAGCTTGGCCGAGTCAGAACCTCTATGGGGCGTCGCAAGAAAGCAGATTGTGTGGACGCGTTCGGCCAAGTCCTTGTACGCTGCACCTTGCCTTGCGAGCATGTAGGCTTTCTTGATAACCAGGCCTCCCATACTATGCCCGATGAGCACTATTGCCGTATTTGCCTGGCTTAGATATGGTGACGTGCTCATTTCGCCAAGTAAAGACTTGCCGAAGTGATGAATGTTCAGGCAGTTGTCCTTGCCCTTGACCCAGTCTGAGTCATACCCGAAGCTATGCATTCGTACATTCTCAAATGCCGAATCTTTAGGAAGCCATTCCTGCGGCCAATAGTGTGTAATTGAGCTTGTCTTGCTCCATGTTTTCCTCGAACCACCGCCAAGCCCATGCACGAAAATGAAGTCGATGAGAGGCTCGGAGGGAGCGTAGAGGAGGCTCAGTCCAAAGGATCCTCTTGGGTCATCCACGCCATCGCTGGTGGAGGCAGTGGTCATTAACGTACTGGCAGAAGTCAAGTCGGTGTCCTTGTGTCGGAAACTCAAAATCGACTGTGTAAGATTCAGTCGAGTCAAACATTCCAACAACCAAATCAAAGACTTGAAAATTTTCTGGGAATAAAAAAAGGCCCCCCACTCCAGCTCAGCTCTCTCACCGATTGGATTTCGAACTTACCATGGTGTCCCGGCATCCTGTCTCAGATGATGCCAGCAATCCAAAGAAGCCTTACGGAGTACTCCTTATCGAACAGTTCTTGACCTATTATTGGATAATGTGTGCATTTAGTAGTCTCATATGCATGTAGAATAGTTATTCTATTGTGATTTTCTATAAAGGATGTAGAAGGATGGAGGAGGACTACCTATTTATGATGTGAAGCCCACATTAAGGCCATTTACCACTTAACATCTATTGGAACTTATCAGTATAGCTATGCTGGCCTCCTATTGGCTGATTCCAACACCTATGCCAATGGGTTCTCACGAAATGGAAAGCTGTATAAAGGTACGATAAGCGCTCCAAAAACTCCACGACACGCAACCTCCCATCTTATCACACCAATCACCTTCCACATATAACAGATCCCTACCGTATGCGTCAGACCGTAAGCGTTCCCGACCCACAAGGAGCAACGCCCCCACCAAGTACCTCTGGGAAACGGAGTTTCGCAGATTGTGAAGCGTCCGATCCTCGTCGCGAAAGCTGCGTCAAACTCTTCAAACAAGTACTACAAATTCGCTGAGAACGTTGACTTACAGATTTTCAAGGGTTGATTTCATCACATATCGAATTTGAGCGGCGTCATACACATTGGTCGGGTGCATCGCTTTGCAGAAGTCCGTGCGCACTAGCGTCAAAAAGGGTGTGGGGGGGGTATCGGAAGGTGGGGATTGGGGGCAGACGCAGGCGCGCATCGAATATCACGTCCTTCAGGAGGCTAGCAGACAGCTATCTATCACTAGCAGCACATCCTGCAAAATCCGAAAATATCTACCCATCCGTCGGCTCGTCCATTTGTCTCAATCTTCGAGATTTCAATCTTTCCATTTTGAAAAAGTACAGGTCCAAAACCTCTTGACAACTGTGGTATCAACGATGGCTTCCGAACCGCCCCATCCGACCATCTCAGCCGGCGATCACAAAGCATATATGGAATACGCCCTGGAGCGAGCCCGCCTTTCACCGCCCGCATCCACCAAATTCTGCGTAGGGGCCGTCCTCGTCGACGCCGACGAGAACGTCATCCTCTCCACAGGCTACTCTTTAGAACTACCGCGGGACTCCCTGGGCGATCCCGGCAGCACGCACGCGGAGCAGTGCTGCTTCATCAAGGTGGCCCAAAAGCATAACCTCCCCGAGGAGCGTATTGGGGAAGTGCTGCCGAAGAACACCGTCCTGTATACGACCATGGAGCCGTGCAATAAGCGATTGAGTGGGAATCGGACATGCGTGGAGAGGATCTTGCGGCTCAATGGCGCGATAAAGGTGGTTTACGTGGGCATCAGGGAGCCAGAGGTGTTTGTTGGGGAGAATGTGGGGATGCAGAAGTTGAAGGATGCGGGAGTCATTGTGGTGGTCGTAGAGGGGATGCAAGATCGGATATTGCAAGTCTCTACCGCTGGACATGAGGTTGAGAAGAGTTGATGGCTGCACTAAAGTCGGCAGTGCTTTTGTGCAATGCTCTCGGTAAAATCCTGGGCAATTTTTTAAAGAGGACGGAGCTGGACTTCGGGACGTTATACGGTGGGGTCTTTACATAATCCAAGAAAACCTCCTTGCAACGAGCTTCTCCCTGGAGCTATCCATATCTCTGTACTAAGTCCCTGATATCGCCAAGCATTCTATAAATTTTTGTCAGCAACAGCGTTCCTTGCAGGGCCACAAAACTTCGTACTGTTCTCTGAGCGCCTGATTTTGGGTGAAGAGGGCAGATACGTGCGTATTGAATCTTCTGTTCCAGGTTAGGCTCGGGAAAAGGTCCAAGATAGGCGTGGAAATGGCATCCTCACAGCTTGTAGAGATCCAAACGTCCGTCATAGTCCTCTTCAGGCGGAGATATTTGATTGTAAGAATGGTATGCTGCCAGGTATTCGGCGCCGAACCTATTGCAAACGGGCCGCCACTGGCCAAACTCATCTTCATCAAGCGGCTGCATGTGAGCTTAATGATTTCTGTTGCGTCAATCAGTCTACGTCAGCACTTACATTCGTTATGAGCGTAGAAACTGCATGCATCAAAGATGAGAGATTCCCCCGTCCCCACGTCGATCCCCGAATTCGCGTACCAAAGATCGCCGTGCACGAGCGAGGGTTTCAAAGACCGGCCGTCGCTCTCAAGTGGGCGCAGAAGACGCGGTATGACCTTATCGAAGAGCGCTGGAACTAGCGTATCAAATTCGGTATCCGGTCCCTTGGCTTCGAGTTCGAGATTGAGAGCCCGCCTCATGCTCTTCGCAAAGTAAGTCTCCCAGCTTGCTTCCCACTCATTGTCCTGGGGCAAATTGCCGGTATATGTTGTCACATGGAAGCCGAATTTGTCTTGCGGGGACTTGCTGTTCTGGTGGAGCGCTGCCAGCCGGGCGGTGAATCTGTGCGGGTCTGGCATTTCGTCGATCATCTCTCGGAATTCGCACAAGAAGAAGTGCGTGTCCGGTACGGTTTCGTACGTTCCCCAGGCTATCGGCTTCGGCGTGAAGTCAGGCAAGAGTGCGTGGGTTGCGGACATCGACTCGAACTCCCCATGCATCATGTTCTTGCCACGCTCTTTCGATATGACCTTAATAAAAAATGATTGTGGTGTCCCGTCGGCCAGATCGACGTCAATACGGCCAGTATAAGCCCAGAAACTGACGCCATGGCTTTCAGTAGATACCACTCGACAGCCTTCTGGTAGTTCTGGATATTGTTTAGCAATGAGTATATGAATTCTGGCGAGTGTGACATCTCACCTGCGGCGACGCTTGGATCAATCTTGATATTTCCTCCACCAAACTCCAAACCTGGAGCACCGTTATAGTTCATTGATATGTAACGAGTTATAGTGTTGACAAGATCTGAAGGCTCAGTCAGCTAATGTCGGTGACCTCTTATCGCAACGGTTTTTCCGTTGGTGGTATGATAAAAAGACCGCTCAACCCTCTTCTGTCTTACCAATGCAGTTGGAGAAGGCGGAGCTTGACCCTCATCCATAGGAGACTGGTCCGAAAGCTTTCCTTTATCTTTATATGGATGCGCTATGCATGTATCTTTAGGTTGCCTGTTTGATGAAAGGATAAACTCTGCGCCATACCATGAGTTGTTGTTCGCTCCCCAAAAAGAGTCTAAAAGCACTAGTGAAGAAATCAACCAAGCGCTTTTTAGGGGCATCGAAACGGATACCCCTGATTGCATAATCCTTGAGAAAAAGAAAAAAAATTCCCACAGTTCTGGCACAACCTAAAATTAAAAATCAAAATCTCAAATATTCTTATATAGATTCACAACTATAATTAATTATATCTAGAAATTATAAAATATATATATTAGGGATACTGTGTAAGAAGCATGCATGTACTCCTGGAAAGGAGTTTCACGAAGAAGCGAAAGGTGTTTCTTGGTTCTGATTGTGATTGAATGATTGATTAAGTCTCAGCTATAAACGTTCTCGAAGAAAGGAAAGGAAGCGACATGCCAAGTCACGCTAGTAAGGAGTTACGCTAGTAAGGTTTCTCACGCTATGCTCAGCTATAAACGTTCTCGAAGAAAGGAAAGGAAGCGACATGCCAAGTCACGCTAGTAAGGAGTTACGCTAGTAAGGTTTCTCACGCTATGTCGGGAACGTAACAATATACTTTATATACTTAAGTATTTATTATTAAAGTATCTAAAAATTTTAATCTTTATAACGTAAGTAAAATAAAATAATATTAATTTAATATTATATTAAAAAATTATCTAAATAAATATTAACATTTAAAAAAAAATTACCTCGGCTATTCTAAAGCTATTAAGAGTATTTCGAAATATTCGCTATTATTCTATTTTATAACGAGTTTAAATCTATAAATTAAATTCATAATCTATTTTTTTAATTAGAGCTATCGAGTAAATTTAGTAAGCGAACTTTAATAAGCGATATTTAAATTCTTTGCCTTTGAATAATTATAAGATTAAATTTTGAAAAAAAATCGGCGGTAAAAAGCGCAAACTACGCTTTATAATTTAAAAAAAAATTAGATTATTAAGATTACAGGTATGAGAAGTATGCATGTACTCCGGGCAAGTAGTTTCTCGAAGGAGAAAGGTGTTTCTTGATATGATTGATTGATTGAAGATGCTAGGAAGCTATAAAGAAACGAAGAAAGTAGTTACACGCCAAGCCACGCTAGGCTAAGCTACGCCAAGTCACGGAAACGTAATATAGATTTTTTTAATAGAAAACAAAAAAGTTATTCTAATTGTAAATAATATATTTTTTTTTTTAAATAAGAGATCTTAAAAAGACTAGCGGGCTAATTTAAATAGTCTAATTAAAAGGCGTAATAATCTCGAATTCATAATTAACTATATATATAAATTTAAGATTTTTTAACTTAACTTTATCTTATTCTATTATATATACTAATATAACGAATAATTTAAATCTTTTAAGAATTTTATAATCTAATCTATATTATATTTATTAAATTTTAATAATTTTCTAGATTATAATTAATTGATTGTGAACCTATATAGAAAAATTGAAATTTTTGATTTTTGATTTTTGATTTTTGGGTGTGCCAGAATTGTGGGATTTTTTTTTTCTTCTCAAGGTGTCACGGTACGCCAAGGCCTCCTCCAGAGCTACCACCCAATTGGGCCTAGCGTGGCTTGGCACCGCACATATCTGCCCTGCAGGCACATAGAATAATCAACATCTTTTACACCACCATGAATTCATGACCCAGTCATCCATTTCCTTGACACAAGGATTATGCAATCAGGGGTAAGCCGGCCAATACGGTGTTCGACGATGACCGATATTTTTTACTTTTTTTTTTTAATCCTTCGACGGCAGTGTAGGAGAAATAGGCCTATTTGAGCTGAAGATAGTGTTGTAATTGGGGGCTTGTATTGGCTTTAGGATTGCGGAGTTTTGGATTTTGGATTTTGTGGAGTGAGGCTGTTCTTCGTCGAGGCTGTGCAGGGGTCGCTTACGGAGTGGGCTAGGAATAGATGCCATTTTGTCTAAAATCTGCGCAACAGGAATGGGTAGCTATCATTTCTAAGAGTGTGTCGATAATTGAATAACGGATTACTTGAAGATCAGCTCTTTCCACCAAGATCTTCTGTTGATGTCACGTCATATAGGCACTACGAGTACGTACCTGCAAGGGTAAGTCTAGTACAGTTGAAGTCTAAGCCACACAGGCCAATGATCTCAAAGCTATGTTTCAAAGTCCGAATGGTGTTGTATATACCAAAATATGGGCAACAGAGGATCCGTTGGGGTTTGAAGCGATGTTTCGACCGTTGCTTGGAGATGCTGCAAAGCGGCAAATTTGGCAATGGCACTAACGAGGACGGTCGACTTGCAAGTATATAAGCGGGCTTGAAACCCTTGGTCAAAGCATTCTGAACTTCAGAGCATCCTCGAATTCACAATACCTTGACTTTAAAGCATCTTCAACGTCAACAGGTTTCCAGCTTCAAAGACCAAATAAATTTATCTCTATCCCATTCTATACTCAAGATCCTGAGACCAGCAACCCAACATCATGCATTGGACACTCCTACTTGCAAGCCCCTTTTTTCTCGGCACCTTGGCCATGCCTCAAGATCCATCAATCAAATATCACCTAGAGGCGAGGGTCCCTGAAGAGGATGGTGCCGCTGGTAGTGAGATTGGTAATGATAGTGGCGGTGGAAGGACTCCTGGTCAAGAACACGGTGATGGCATGACTCCACAGATCCCTCCCGCCCAATACCAACCAGTAGAAAAGTGAGTTCATGATACCTGGTCATCCCTCCTCATCTCCATACCGCGCCACCCCGAGCACGTGCAGTCTTTCCCAACACCACACCAAATAACCTATGAGTAATTCTACTGATCACCTTCACATCCAGCTACGGCTGCCATTCCTTGACCGAGTATGCTTGGATGCCGGAGGAAATAGATGGCGTGGTAAAGTCGCCCGGCTGCGCGAAAACTGGCAAGATGGTTAATGATTGGCCAATGCCCAACCCTGACGGCAAATGGTACGACGAGTGGGCGACAGATTTCGACGATAGCTCAGACTGCAATCTCTATCTTGCCTGGGCACAAGGTGACAATTACTGGATCGCCTTTGCGCGTGACGCATCAAACCACCCCATGGGCGGGATTGCCCCACAAAACCGCAGTGCGCTCAACCCGCCCGGAGCCTTCAGTCTCGGAACAGGCGGATGGATAATGACAGTAACGGAGGCGACAAGCGACTTTTCAGTGATATCTCCACCTGACAATTCGGGCTTGAGCTTTGTCTGGGCACATTCAGGCGGGGGAGATGGTGAAGTCGCATGGGCGAGCAATTATGCTTTTGATGACTCGAACGATGGGAATCAGGGTGGGTGTAAGTATTCCGTGGATCCAACTAAGCCGCAGAAAAGCCAGGGTGGTATGGTGGGTATGAGGTACTGGCAGTGCCCGTTTCTGTGTAGCGTTGCACATAAGTAGAGGCTATGATTGAGCTTTTTACATGGTATGAAAAGCTGAGGATGCAGGCAAGAGTGGAGGGGGAAGACATCGTGTGCGGGCCTTGGTACTGGAGTAGGGAGGTTTAGCAGTTTTTATACAAAGAATTCTACAATACCAGTTGCCCTACCCGTCCGCCGCTCGCTAACCTAAATATGTGCTGGGGCGCGGCCTTCCCAGTACTCGTACTCGTATACCCGACCCGCTGTACGACGCTAGCTGCGCCACCATTAGGTGGTTTGCCAGCAATTCGATGCAATAACGACATACGTTCATTATTCGCCGACATTGATGCATTTTGGCACAGTAACCAACTCCTGGTTCGATGACAGTCTGGTTTTGGCAAGAATTGATGTATTTCCGGATGATTATTACTCGTAAGTGGACCAAGACCGACAAGGAAACATCATTGTACGAAGCTCTTCGCCTCTGCCCACCTTGAGACTTTGCAAGAGTCTGGCAAAAGTCAGATTGGCTCTTTAGGGACTCACAAGATCAGCCTCCGATATGCCGAAGGCCAGACAGACTTGTACGAGGTGCTCTATGCGTCGGCAGAAATGTGATCGCAAAGACCCTTGTACGAGATGCGTTGAGAACAATGAAGCGAGCTCCTGCTCACGCAAATGGCAAGATGGCTACGATCCGCGGAGAGATAGGACATACCCTTAATTCCACGCTGTGCGCTTATCCGAAAATACCATTCCTTCTGGGCGCACTAGCGATGGGGTGCCCCAGAATGCTGGTCAAGATGCGTCTCTGATGCAAAACTTGGCAACCACGTAAAGAACATACTCACCGCACCCCACAGTCCATGATATCACCAAAATAACCGCCTCTCAACCCTTGCCTGGTACACCATTCGCGAACGCTGTGCCGCAAACGGCTCCCAACGGCTTTGACTTTCTCAAGTAGGAAACGAGCCAGCTTCTTCAACGTTTCTGACCAATGGAGCTGTGACGCTGTCCAATTTTGTGCCATCCAACATCCCGTCATTAATGCATTCACCTGTTGGCGCTTAAAAATTCCGCGGATGTGAATGGCCACAGCCATGCGGATTTGGTACCCGTGATATTGAGAAACATAATCTCCAAACTTCGGTTTAGACTAACAGGCAAATATTGCAGCTGGTGGAATATCACGAGGAATACTTACTCTGGTATCATGGTTGTGTCCATGGCCCAACGTTCCGGATGGAATTGAACAAAGCCTCACAAGTAACGGATGGTGTCCAATTGAAGAGTCTCGACCTTCGGTGGTCTGCTCTTCTCTTTTCTATCATGGCAGCAAGTCTCAATTGCGCAAGCCACTCTGTGGCGCATTCCTGGGTTTTTCTGAAGGCCCAGAAATGCCATTTAAGCAAGCAGTGGTACGAAGCCTCTATTTCGTGCTTGCACCTGGGAGACTATACGTCAAAACTCAATGTATACTCCATTCAGGCAATTCAGGTGTTGAGTATGTCAGCTCATACAATTGGTTTTTCGAATACACAGTTCGTTATCTTCGATGCAGCCCTCAGAATTGTTCAGAATCTAGGTTTGCAACGGCTTTGCATAAACGCAACGGGGGCCGTTGCGTCCAACGGTGTTCTCGGGATCATTGAAGCTTGGCGGTTTAGGGCCGTAGATGTGCTGGCCCGAGTGCCTGTAGTCGGACATCCAGCAGTCATACTGCTCTTCTTCGATCTCCTTGCAGAGCTCGGGCCAATGGCGGAATATTGACATGGCGCTGGGTTGAATGGTCAGATTATCCTCTGATCAGTTGGCGTCAGCAATCGGCGATCAATAAGGATTGGGGTTCTCCGCTAGAGTTAGCTGTCCATTATTGCTGCAGCTCACCTGTGTAGACTGGTCCCGCACTTCTCTCCAAACTCTTGATCGAAAGTCCTTTCCGCCAACACTGCAATGCAGTCATTAAGCCTCCAATCCCCGATCCGACAATGAGGACTGAAATATCAGTCTCGGCTTATTTCTCCAGCTTTGATGCCATACCAGTGGCAGCATCGCCATTCCCAATGCGAGAAGTACCATTAGTTTCCGATCGATTGGCCGAAGAGATTGAATCTGTTGCGTGGGGTACCATGTTGCTATGGGTCTGAGCTATGGCAATAATCTAGGAGTGAACGGATTGAAGAGGATTTCAATGTAGGCTTGGCTAGAGGAGGTGTCCCAGATAGAGGCCTTGCTGATGGTTGCCAGTCAAAATCCCCACCAGCAATTTGTTGAAATCACATCAGCGAGCGACCCATTGCGCCCCGCGCCCATCACCCTCACCAGCTTGCCACAGCTTCTTCCATCACGGACTCGGTGCTATACACATAAGTCCGAATATCAAACCTCTATCTCGCTTAGGCAGCACAGCACAGCTTTCGGACTCATTGCACAGGATTCATGCGAGGCGGGGCTTACGGCGCATGCTTGATAATGGGATGGGTGCGGACGAAATGAGATGTCTCGTACAGCCGAGGGGTGTCATGAGAGAGGATAGGCCCGAGGGCTGGCGCTGGAGGTTCAGAGAAAAGCCCGCCTGAAGGATTGCCTGGACAATGCACTTAGATTCGCTTCGGAACCGCGACTGACTTGAGACCAATTTGGGACTCATTGCCCCTATCAGGCCCGATAGAAGTCCCTAGAATTCAGTCTATACGGTCCCAGAACAACGTTCTAGGGTCTCTTGTTACAAGGTCGCCTTCCGAAAGTAGGGTTAGGGCTGCTACTAGCGCTGTGCAGGATTTTCGGTGCCGGCTACAACGCTGACCTGCAGCGAGTACAGAGTGCCATGCCATTATTTATTGTAAAGCTTGGCAGTGGACATCATCACGCCAGTAGCCGTTCTCAGCGTATAATGGAATTGTACAGAAATGTTAGCAAAGGGGTTGATTACATTGCAACGGATACCTCGCTTTGCATGTTGTGCAAAAGCCAGCCCAAGAGACTATTTCGAGTCCTTTGTATTGAATCTTCCTTTCAGCCTTCTGTTTTCTGGGACCAACAATGCAAATACAAATCTCAGGATAGGAAACTCAGAGCTAAAGGGCACCGAGATCCCAGGTCGTACTACCCTCAATACCTCGCACGAAGGCACTTGTCATGGCAAGAGCCAAACTTCAGAAGTGGATTCAACATTCTATTATCTGGCAGCTTTAAATGGGGCATGCATGCCCTTCTTTACGGAGGGAGTCTACATCACCTTTTCCCAATCATGCATTGCTATACTATTTGCCTCACTCAAGCGCACTTCCTCGCCTCCCCGCGGCCTCATCTCGTTCTCATAGGCTGCAATTGCCGTTGCCCTCTGCTCAGATGAAAAGCGGCCAGAATTTGAGAACCCTTCAATCCTTTTGCAAAGCTCGTACGAATCCTTGAGCGCATGGTTGAGCCCTTGCCCTATTTGAAAAGTCATCGGGTGCGCTGCATCCCCTGCAAGAGTGATTCGGCCGTCATGATTCTCCCAGCTGTGCTCTGGCTCGCTTGGATCCCATTGGCGCAGTTTCCCATACCATAAGGGGCTGTCGGTTGGTGTCCATTCGAAAACGCTCCTGAAAGGGTCGCAGAATTCTTTGGCCAATTCCTTCTGGTATGCGAGACGTCCAGCCATTGACTTGTTGTTTTCCACATTTCGAGGCTCGGGATAAGAAATGTAATGGAAGAACTTCCATTTCTCAGGGTGATCGACATCATCACCGTCGTGGAGACTAAGCCAGCCAAAGGAGCCATGGGGATGTGGGGCGACCTGATAGAGTGGGTGAAACGGTGTACTCCGTAGGAACAAAACTCGCTCTCGAGAGTGCTTCGTGAAGCACAAGGTTGTAGCAAAGTCGGTGGGGGTCACCTTAGCTTTCTCAGCTCCGACGAGCAGCTCCCGCACTGTCGAATGTGTACCGTCGGATGCAACCGAAAGACTGCCTGTGTCCTTTGTTCCATCTGCGAAGCGTGCTGTGACTTTCGTCTCATCTGCAGAGTATATGATATCCGTAAGACTCTTTTCCCATTTGATGTCGAGTCCTTCCATCAACAGCTCCATCAACAGCTTACCGAACTTGTCGCGTCGGAGACGGTCAAATTTGCTCGATTTGATTTCCCCAATGCGCTCGCCTGTCTGACCATTGATGAAAGGGAGTCGGTCCGCATCACTTGTGGGAGTTTTGGGGTCTACTTGTGTACCCTGAATCCTAGCGGCGAAATCATCCGGCATCAAGGCCTCAAGAGCCGGTAGTGATGAGGAATACGCGAAGCCAATTTTCTCACCATGTCTGCATTGATTGGCTGGGTGAGCCGGCCCAGGTGGTCTCTCAGACTCTCGTAGGGGACCAGGACTGCTTTGCCTGTGTAGTATGAGTACGGATCTATCTACGAATCGGACTATATCTGTCGCCCACCGAAATACCGCTGTTTTTATATCTTCGACGGTTTAGATAAACTTTTATACGCTAGTATTATCGCGCAAGAGCTCAATCCAAGGAACTGACCCATTTTTTTTTCAAAGTGTCCCCCGCTGTGCCCAAGCACGAGATTCGGGTGCCGAAGCGCGTCACCGTTAACGATCCCGGTTCCTGGAAGGCTGATGACCCTGGCAGATGACAATGGCTCTCTTATTCCTCCTGTAAGCGTTTTCATTCACTCTAGCAACGTCTGCACGACTTCAACTACGATAAGATCTTCAGCCTCGAGCGCTCTGGAAATGGCACCAATGAACGAGGAGCCTCAGCGGCTGCTATGTTGGACAGTCTGCGCCTATCGCAAGCCTGGCATGGATGAAGGAGACTACCACAGATACATGAGCGGGGTCCATGCACCGCTTGTCAAGGATCTGATGGTAAAGTATGGTATGATTCGATGGTCGATGGTAGAGTTCCAGCGCTGCATTCTGTCCGCTCTTCGTTCATCGAGCTCATGACACCGCTAGACGCATAATACATCCTCCTCGAAGCCGCTGATGGCGCATCTCGCTGGTCCACAGTACGTTATGCTTCTATCTATAATCTATGCTCGACTCTTGCATAATCTAGCCATCATGAAAGTTAATCATTACTAGAAGCCATTCTATTCACCTGGAGTCAACCTCATTTAATCACTGACAACAGCCGTGTGACTCTTTAGACTCCCATACATTAGCACCCGTGTTCGCCTGCTGGGCCGAGAAGGTTATTGATGGGTGATGACCTTGGACATGGGTGCTTTCATGAGCATGTTTGTCAATCCGACTGCCCATCCAACTCCAATGTCGGGCATCTGTCGGGCACAGTGCGGACCCACATCCTACACCCGATTCAAGATGCAGGCCTTCGGCCGTACGGACAAGAATCATTCGATGCATAACCCGATTGTATACTGCAATTTACAATTCCGGCAACGTTTCGTACAACGTCATACCACAATCGCTGCTCGGCTAAAACCTGTCATCGCTCCTTTGCCATGTTCCCTTCTCCCGTGTTGCAACCTTAGTCTTGGGAATATATACGTTTCGGAGGCTGAGAGATAAGCATTGAACACCGTTATCAAGCCTAGAGGCCCGAGTGTTGTCAAGGCAAGTTCCGAAGAGCCTGAAGAATTCTCTATTAAGTCACCTTCCAGGCCGTGCACGTAACAGTGACAAGGCTTCAATGTTCTTTCCATTCCCACTTGGTCACTAGGCCTGCATAGATCCTTCAACATGGAGCCACCGACTCAGATCTTCATCTTTGGAGACCAGACGAATGCATCTGATGCAGACTTGCGCCAACTTCTGCATGTCAACGACAATAGTGTTTTGAGATCCTTCTTTGAGCGTGTCAACTATGCACTTCGTGTCGAGATAGCACGATTGCCCGTCGTTCAACAAGAATGGTTTCCCCGCTATACTACCCTCCTTGAGCTATTGACTGCCAGACGCCGTGGGTTTGGGGACAATCCGGCTCTTGGGCTTGCTTTGCTTTGCATCAACCAACTTGGCCGTTTCGTAAACTATGTCGTTGCGTTTACTACTCTAAACGGCGGCCAATGCTAACTTCAGTTAGGTACTATAGTGAAGGATCACGGCGATATCCTCACAGCTCGACCAATTATGCCGTGGGACTGTGTACTGGATCTTTTGCAGCCGCTGCCATAAGTACCTCCCAAACAGTTGCTGAACTTCTTCCTGCGGCTACAGAAGTAGTCCTAGTTGCATTTCGAACAGGCCTAGGGTCTTTTGAAGCACGCAATGATATTGAACCTCGCTCCGTTGTGCCACCAATATGGTCGGTGATAGTAGGCATGCAAGAGAAACAGGCTGCTGCCATTCTTGATGCGTTCTCTAATGCAAATGTAAACTCTCAACGCCAATTTTGAGACTTTTGTTGACTCCAGCAGGGTCTTTCGAAGAGTTCAAGACCTTACGTGAGTGCAGTTACTTCAACTAATGTAACAATCAGCGGCCCGTCCACGGTTCTCCAGCAAATGTTACAATCAGAGCCTTTCTCCGCTTTCAAACCAACCAAGCTCTCGATCAATGCTCCATACCATGCACCTCACATCTGTGGGCCGAATGATGTTGAGGCAATTCTGGCTCCATGTGATCAGGCAATACTTGATTCTTTACAGATCGAAATTTCCTTTACTCTCCAGTGCAGCGGGATAACGAGTCTCAGGATATAGTTACAGATCCTTATTGCGGATTGTCCTGAATGACGTTCTAACTTAGCAACTTCGCTGGTACATATTGAAAGAGAGCGCGACAGAATTTTGTCAAGCATCTCCTTCTTCGCGCGTCATCATCTATCTAATCCTCACTTCTACAGCTCAAAGTTTAGCTTCGATACTCTCACAAGCCACTCAGTCACAGACAACCATAAACAATTCCTGCATGGCTGACCCCAGGAACGATCCGTCTTCAAGCCCGAGTGGCAAACCAGAACAATCGAAGATCGCAATCGTTGGGTTTGAGGGAAGATTCCCTGATGCTGAAAGCATAGACAAGTTCTGGGATATCCTGCACAAGGGTCTTGATGTCCATCGAAAGATTCTAGAAGACCGATTCGATGTCGCAACGCATTATGACCCTACTGGCCGAAAGAAGAATACGAGTAAGGTCCAATATGGCTGCTTCATTGAGAAACCAGGCTTGTTCGGTGCTCGGTTCTTCAACATGTCACCACGGGAATCTGCCAATGCCGATCCAGGTCAGCGATTAGCGATCATTACTGCATACGAAGCCCTGGAGATGGCCGGCTTTGTACCAGACACAACTCCATCAACCCAACGGAATCGAGTCGGCATCTTTTATGGCATGACTAGTGATGATTGGAGAGAAGTAAACAGTGGCCAGAATATCGACACTTCTTTTTTACCTGGTGGCAACCGTGCTTTCACTCCAGGGCGCATCAATTATCATTTCAAGTTCAGTGGACCCAGCTTCAGCGTCGACACAGCGTGTTCCTCGAGTTTTGCAGCCATACACGTAGCCTGCAACTCATTGTGGAGAGGTAATTGCGACACTGCCATTGCTGGCGGTACAAACGTCATGACAAACCCAGATATTTTCGCTGGTCTCGACCGTGGCCAATTCTTGTCATCCACAGGGAATTGTAACACATTTGATGACGGTGCAAATGGTTATTGCAGAGCTGATGCTGTAGGAACCGTGGTTCTCAAGAGGTTGGAGGACGCAGAAGCCGACAATGACCCTATCAGAGGCGTCATTCTTGGAGCATACACGAACCACTCCGCAGAAGCGGACTCGTAAGTGACATTTCCTACTTCGACTTTCTGAACAATTAGAAAGCTAACAGGATCTCTAGAATGACTAGGCCTCATGTGGGAGCTCAAGCCTCCATCTTTACCAATATTTTGGATGTTGCAAACGTTGATCCGCTCGATGTGAGTTACATCGAAATGCATGGAACTGGCACTCAAGCTGGTGATGTCGTGGAGATGAAGTCGGTCTTAGATGTTTTTGCTACAGGAAAACGTGGTCCTGAACATTCGCTACACCTTGGATCGATCAAGGCAAACGTCGGTCACGCCGAGTCAGGATCAAGGGTAACTTCTCTGATCAAGGTCCTGAAGATGATGGAAGAGAACGAGATCCCGCCGCACTGCGGTATCAAAACAAAGATCAACCACAATTTCCCTACCGACCTCAAGGTGAGAAATGTGAAGATTGCGTTGGAACCGACTGATTGGAGACGACCGGAGCATGGGAAGCGAAAACGAACCGTATTTTTGAACAACTTCAGTGCTGGCGGAGGGAACACTGCTCTGCTTATGGAAGATGCTCCTAGCGTTTTCCCTATGGATCACCTCGACCCTCGATCCACTCACTTGGTGGCAGTTTCTGGCAAAATCAAGCTTTCAATTCAGAAGAACATCGAAACTTTGGCGGCTTTTCTGAATGGCAACCCCGAACTGTCGCTCCCATCTCTGGCATACACATCAACCGCTCGCCGCATGCACCATAGCCATCGAGTTATCGGCAGTGGCCGTGACCTCAGATCGACCAAAGACGCTCTGCAAGGCCTTGGACCAAGCGAAGACCTTAAATCAACTCCGATTCCCGCAAAGGTCCCCAAAGTGAACTTCGTATTCACAGGCCAAGGCGCCCTATATGCCAGTCTGGCACGCCAGCTATTCGACCACATCTCCTCATTTCGGGCAAGTATCCAGCGCTTTGATCGCATAGCGCAAAGCCAAGGATTTCCAAGCTTTGTACCCCTGATTGATGGTTCTCGCGGCGGCCTTCAGGAGGTCGGGCCAGTAGTCTCTCAAGTAGGCACTGTCTGCGTACAGATGGCCCTTGCTCAACTATGGATCTCTTGGGGAGTTTATCCATCCACGGTAATCGGTCACAGCCTTGGAGACACACCGCAGGAGTTGTCTCAGCTAGCGACGCTATCTTCTTAGCCGGAATCAGAGCTCAGGTTCTAGAAGAACGCTGCAACACCGGAACACATGCTATGCTCGCTGTCAAAGCGTCTTTGTCATCGCTCAGCAATTATGTGAATCGGCAAAGCTACGAAGTTGCTTGTATCAATGGTCCTAATGAGACTGTACTCAGTGGGACGATTTCAGAGGTTGACTTGCTTTCAATCATTCTTACAGCGCAAAACATCAAGAGCGCAAGCTCGATGTACTCTTCGCTTTTCACTCACCTCAAGTCGAGTGCATTTTACACGATTTCGAACCCGCAGCGCAGGCTGTAAGGTTTAGCGAGCCATCAATGCCCTACATGTCTCCTCTACATGGAGAAGTCATTAGTGATAAAGGAATACTCGGCCCATCTTATTTGAGCCGTGCCCGTCGAGAGACTGTCAACTCTCAAGCGGCACTAGTCGCTGGCAGGGATGCTGGCACCGTTAAAGACGAAAGCATCTTGGTCGAGATTGGTGCTCACCCGATTTGCTCTAAAATGATCAAAGCGGCCCTTGGTTCTCACATACAAGCCCTCCCATCACTTCGGCGCAATGAAGACGCTTGGAAGGTGCTGGCCAAAAGTCTATCGTCACTGTACCTGGCCGGCCTCGATATTCAATGGAAGAAATATCACCGGGACTTCATACACGCCCTTAGGGTTCTTCAGCTTCCTTCTTATCATTGGGATAGCAAGGACTATTGGATCCAGTACAGCAACGACTTTTGCCTTACTAAGGGAGACGAAAAGCCCGCGGCGATCTCAGCTGCTCTCGTATCCGCAAATTCTATGCTGTCTACGTCTTCGGTTCAAAGAGTGCTCGAGCAGCAACTCGGTGATGAAAAGTCCACTCTCGTCATTGAGTCAGATCTCCACCATCCATCCTTGTCGAGCGTGATTCAGAGGCACAAAGTCAACGGGGCCGCTCTCTGCCCTTCGGCAAGTGCATTTCAAAGTTTCTTAAGGCAAATTGCTAATCCATCCAGTCTCTCTACGCCGATATTGCCCTGACTGTTGCCGACTACTTACTACAAGCGGCCAAGACAGATACGAAAGGGATCGGAATGGATGTGTCCGACATGACCGTCAACAAGCCTCTAATTGCCACTGGAAATGGGCCACAGCTAGTCCGCGCTTCGGCGTCTGCAGACTGGAATGCCCGACGTGTCTTGATAAACTTCTATAGCGTTACTGGCGATGGCAAGAAGACGGTGGATCACGCGATTTGCACCGTCGACTTCGAGAACACCGATGGTTGGCTGAAGGAGTGGAGGCGCAACGCCTACTTGATCAGAAGCCGAATTGACAGCTTGGAGCAAGGTGTCGAGCAAGGACAAGTCAAACGTGGCCTTGCTTACAAGCTCTTCGGCGCTCTTGTTGATTACGGTCAATGCTATCAAGGCATGCAAGAAGTCACATGCGCTATGCAAGTACCAGAACTTGTTGGCCTCTGGAGGGAACTGTTTTTCACCAGTTGCTTTTTGGAAAATCCATGTAACCAGGCGGAGGAGCTCCTTTACCTGAGGTGAAGGAATGGTGAAGATGTCAGAAATCATTCGTATCTTATTTCGTTTTCACTTCAATTAATCTTTGACTTTGATTGAGTTGGTAATTACCATATATTACCGGGCGTTGTAATATTCCTCTCGGCCGACTCGGAGACTATTTTTGCGGGTTGTCAGACACAAATGACATGCTCGGCTGTCACACGCTATGAGCTGTGGCGGTGTGGCGGCGCTTCTACGGCGGACGACGGCTGACACTACGACAAAAGAAAAAAAAAAAAAAAAAAAAAAAAAAAATTCTCTTTTCATTTTTCTTCTTCGCAATTTCTAGTAACTCTCTTCAAAATATTCTTTTTAGAATATTCTCAACTCTTCGAGAGGTACTTTTTGAGGCACTCTTTAGGGGCTACTCTCCGGGGTACTCTCCGGGGTACTCTTCCGGGTACTCTCCGGGGTATTCTTCCGGGTACTCTTCGAGGTACTTTCTGGGGTACTCTCCCGGGTACTCTTCCGGGTACTCTTCCGGGTACTTACGACGGATAATAAATGAAGTTCTTCGCAAAAAAAAAAAAAAAAAAAAAATTACGGGACTTTCCGTGGAACTTCCCGCGAATTTTTTTTTTTTTTTTTTTTTTCGAGTGATTTCTCGAGTAAATCTTTAAGAAACCCCTCGAGTAACCCTCTAAGTACTCTCTAAAATACCCTCCTCGAGTACCTCCAAAAGTATACCCTCGAATACTCTTCTAAATCCCCCTCAAGTAACCCCTAAAAAATCCTCTAAAATATCTCTCTAAGATATTTCTTAAAGAAATCTCTTAAGTATCTCTTTAAAATCGCGGGAAGAAAAAAAAAATTAAAGAAAAAAAATTGGGTTTGGTTTTGTCGTAGTGTCAGCCGTCGTCCGCCGTAGCTTCCGCATGCGGTTAAGTACTTTTGTCATTTCCAATTCAAAGCTAGAGAAGTCACTTTTTTTCCCCAAAACAGGATCTGATGCTCATCGATCGGGCCAATGGGAAAAAGAAGACGGTTTCAATGCGGTAATTGATCGGCGAACGCTCGGGTTTGCTACACCCTTTTTCCCACGTAGAACAAGCGAGACCCTCTGATATTATTCCACTCCGGCAGTACAGCTTACTACCAACCCATCGACTCTCCATCCGCCTTTTGGCCTACATTACCATGCTTGACCCTCTTCCCTTAACCCCCCCTCCCCCCCCCCATTTCCTTGAACAACTCAAGACTATGTGACCATTCTTCATCTCTCCAGCTAAGTCCACAGTCTCTGACCAGCCACGATTCACGATGAAAGTCTTTTTCTCCCTATCCCTTCTTTTCCTTCTTCAGAATCCTGCTTGCTTCCTCGTCACTTGCGCTCCGGTATCCATTGAACATCACGAACTGCCCGCTACCAGTACAGCAAAGGCTCATGCAATCTTCACATACCTATCTCGTTACGATTTGTGCTGGAGGGGGAAGACATCTTCTACGCAGGAACCTTTCTATCCTCGAGTCATGCTTGACAGAGCTATGGCGGCCCAGGTGAGCCAAGAGCAAGCAATCGAGTCACTCCTGAATGCAGCACCTCGGTCAGCCACTCTTCTTTCGGCCTTGTCGGTGCAGCAGGAGGACAAAGGTCCAGCGATGACGACCAAACCATCCTTGCATTCACGAACTCTTTTAGTGTGTGTGTACAGGACACTCAAGGTCGTCATGACAAGCTTGCAATGCAGGGTAGGCAGCGTAATGGCGATGTTTGGTTGGATAGGCTCTTCCGACGACGGCCTGATTGTCACAGGATTGATCCTGTCAATGATGATGCAGATCATGTTGGTATATTGGATTTGGATGGATGCCAGAGCGGTATGTATCCGGAAGCCAATTCACCGGAGCCAAGCATGTACACTAACACATTCAATCTTCGCAAGTTGGAGCACGAGGAAATGGATAGCTTTCAATGACCGTCAGACTCTAGGGTCAAGAAGATTTTTGCAAAGGAAGAAAATTGGATGACTCTCCACCGGATTCTCCGAGGCAGTACACACCGAGACGACCTGGGAGAATGTACCAGTCCAAAAATGAGGCCTTGGCGCAAACAGGTATGATCATTATGGATGTTGCAGCGGCATCTTGACCTCGGGATGAAGCCATCGACGGTTCCAATCTTACCTTCATTCATTGGAAAGGGCAGAGGTTCTAGTTCAAATAAGAATCTTCAAAGAAACATACTAGCCGATGCCGACCTTTGAGTTCTGGTTGGTCTGGCAACATCAGTACCACTTTCCAGAGACCTTGACAGCTAGGTACCACAACTGCCGAAAATCCCTCGATTCTCCGTAGAGACTAGAGACTGAATGAATCCTGCTTAGGTCAATGTATTCACTAAAATACTAGTGAATACGTCGAAACCTTTAATATACGTACTTGATAAGTATTTTTATGACCTAACATGAAATACAGTACCAACGGTAAGTTTGCTCAACGGGTAATGAATGGAAAAGGGTTTTTGGGTCTAGGCCTGATCGCCGGGACGCCACTCCCGTTGGATGGAGGGGCGAGGATCTTGCCAATCGCCATGCTAGGTTTTAAGGTATGGATACTGTAATGCCGTGATCCGCTGCGGAGCAAACTCCGCTTCCTGTTTTGAATTTCGTCTTACAGATGCTTTCGTCAACTCTTTAACTACTTGACCATTCTCACTATCCGGGACAGATACAGTACTGATAGAAGGTCGTACAGTATTCTCGCATCCATGCCATTAACATTTATGCCATCGCAAGCGCCAATAGGACCTGTCCCACTCAAGCTTCAACAGCTGTTGTCTTCCCTGTCATGTTTCGCAAGCGGTACGCATATCAACCTTTTCCCTATCAACATCCAGGATGTGGCATCGGCAAGCAGACAATCGTCGTTGATGTGATGCACAAATAGGAAATGACAGAACTTCCATAGGCGGAGCTCCAAGAAGCTGGACATCGAACTCTATGCCAGATTCAGGGAGAACCACCCTGATGTTAGCCCCGGAACTTCCGTACCCATCCACCTATCAGTCACCGAGTCCCAACGCATCATCAGGTCTAGACGTAAAGACGAGGAGTAAGTAATCTACTCACCACCAACACAGTTTCTCCCAATGTACTTGCGCTACTCGAGCGATTTGCTGGATTGAAATCGTGACTTGCAGTGATGCACGACATGATGACATAACTGTCGCACCGATATCCAGAGTCCCGTGGCTTTCCCTCGAAAATGTTGTCTCTGTCGCACCGACGCCATTCATGACAGATGAACCAGCCTTGAGACGAACACTGGTTGCTGAACGACAACAAGTCGAAGAATGTAATCAACCAACAGTCGTAGGGTCGAGTCAACCACTATCCCCCGCCACTGAGCACGATATGTGGTCAGAGTTTATCCTTCCCGAATCTCTGTCCACTTCTGAGGCTATCTGGTCGTGTGATTTTCAGGACTTTCCATCTCCTCTAACCCCACAAACTTCATTTCCGGACACATTATCTTCTGCCTCGCCAGATCTTCAGCCTCTGTCATCTCTTGCGTGTGAAGATGTCGCTAGTCCAGATTGCGTGGACGTCGTCGAGTCACATGAACCTGAGATCGTGGACAGCTTCTACCAGAAAACTGGGAGTACTGGGTCAGCCTTATCAGTGCAGCCCTCAAACGGGTGGGTGTTTGATTCAGGTTCCTCAGCATGATCAACATTCACTGACATGATGACCCAAGGGCTCGCTTTTGCCACAAACTTCACGCACCCCCTGCTTTGATGCTAAAGGGATCTGGTGAAAGCCCCGTGACTTATTTAAACAAAGGCTCACATTATTCCATCTCTGTCGAAGATACGTTGCGTGCTGGACCCGACCCTGGTAAGCAGGTGTATTGCACATCTGTGCAAGTCGTGTTCGATACAGAGCAGCAAAGACAACAACCGTTAGCCTGTTGGCGATTGTGGGAAAGAAACTGAGATGATGATGAGGTCCGCTCAATTGAAGGGAGGTCTCAGGCAATTGAATACGTGGACCCTCACGAATCTGATCATCCGGACCACGGGGCAAGTTCTCAGGTTGTTCACTCTGATGGCTTCTCGTTGATGTGGAGCGCAGACCACAATGACATGAGACAATTCTCAATCGCATTTCGATTAAATTTCCGGTCAACAGACTTTAGTCACTGCAAAGGAGTCATGGGGGTTGCAATGCAACTCTGCAGTAAAACCGAAGAGATATCGACCACTTCAGTACAGTCTCTCAGACCGAATCTCGAGATGAGCTTTTGCAGGATCAAGTCATTCAGGAGTCATGGTGCAGAGCGCAAGAATGCCAACGATATGGCTATTGGGCAAAAACGCATCAGAAGACTGAAGCAGCAATTAGCGCAATCGCAGACACGCCAGACACCAAAAGACAAGAGACTCGGCAGGGATAAAAGCAAGACGCCGAGACTCCCAGGAGCACGAAGAAATCATGAGGATGGCATACTTTGTAAGATCAAGATCTTGCAACAGAATTGCACTTCAACCCCGCCGTACACACTCCTCGACCAACAAGGAAAGAAACAGCAAGACTGTGACTGGCCCCCGTTAGGGCACAAGGACAAATCTCCAGAATCGCCCGAGACTGGGCCGGCGTCCTCATCTTCGGCTCCACGAAGCGCGTTGATGCCGATAACGTCGAGACCAAAACACTCGATGTTGTCGTCAGAGCCGATTCAGCTTCCAACTTCACCATGGTGTGATGAGTCGCAGCAAAGGACGTCGACACGAGATCTTCCAGAAGGGACCAGGAACAGATCAATAAGGCCCGGGGGAGTCAAAATTGCTTGTTTTTACATACGTCCAGTCGGTTTCAAACACGTAACCCAGATTGACCATTACATAGCAGTATACCTTTTCGAGCGCACAGCTTGTGATCTTACCAGGAAAATCGCGGAAGCAGTCTCGATTGATCCCGGGGAGGTGGGGCAAACAACATGGTCTACTGTCAAAGGTCTAACCATCCTAGTCGATGACGACGTAGTCGCAAATATGATGGAGGGCCAGGAGATGCAGGTCGAAGCGAAAAGCACCGCAACCAGGTCCGATTCTGGAAGACAGTTGAGCTTTGACTCTGCAGATGAGGTATATTCTTGTGAGCATGGAGTCAGGCAATGTACTCGAGAGCTACTTGAATTCAACCTCGTGTTTTGATGATACGACCGAGCACATTCAACGACAGGGATAGAGATTGAGAGGGACGGTCATACCTGTAATTCTAGGATGGCACAAACGTGCACTTGGACATTGAGTGTTTCAAAACATGGGGTGAAATAGGTGACAACATGAAGACGTCCAAAGTTCACATTCGCGGTCAGGGAAATATCCCCATCATCATACCCTAAAGTAGAAATCTTGGCACATTTCATCACGGTGCATCATTTGTTGGAGAGAGAGAATGCTGGATCTGCATTTCTTCGAGACCAGAGCGAGGAAGGGGAAAAGTACACGGAAAGTGCCATGTACGTTGCAAAAATCCAAGGGCTTTGGTACTTAAAAGCACTCTCCGAGCAGCACGGTGTCAGGCCCTCGTTGCAAAGAACGAGCTCGTCCGCCTCCTGAATAAAAGTCCATGACTCATTCACCCTGCTCAGGGTCGACTTCCAATGGATGTGAGGCATCTTGGCCCGGATTCGCCTCCTCGTAATTGTAGTGCTTTGCAAATCTATAGTATCCTGCAGCAAGAATGGCACCGAAGGCTGGTCCAAGCCAGTATATCCAGTGATATCCTGGGAAGTTGCGATTTACTGCGCAGGGGCCAAATGATCGAGTGGGGTTTAGGGATCCGCCGGTAAAGTATACCCCTACAAATGCATCATTAGTGACGAGAAGGCGGAGATTGCTGAGAGGGGTGGGCAGGGTGAGAACAAGCCCGTAAGTTCAGCAACGAAAAGCGCAAGCCCAATGGCCACTGGCGCCAAGAATGTTGCCTTGCTCTTCTCTGCCGCCAAGAACAAAACGGTCAAGACCAGTTCTGCGGTCAGGAACATCTCGATGAAGAGGCCTTGAGCTATAGAGGTGCTGTGGGTAAGGGTCGTGTTCACTGCTAGTGGGCCTGGAAACATGCAGGAGACGAGTCCAGCTGCAACAAGACCGCCGAGCATCTGGGCTGGGACGAGTAGGAGTCCACGGGTCCAAGGGAGGGTATTGGATATCATCATTCCGAGCGTTACCTGTATACGCTTCTCAATATGTGTAGTAGGGGCCACGATTAAGCAAGTGAATATTTACAGCAGGGTTGAACAGTCCGCCGCTGATCCTGTAGAACACCCACGTAGTGACAGCGAGGGAAAAACCGAATGAAAGGCTAATAAAGAGCAGCTGTTGCAGATCCGGCGCCGAAGCAGGAGTCAGAGTGTTGGCGATTTGAGTACCACCGAAGCCAAAAAAGAGGAACATAGTGGTGCCAACGAATTCTCCAGACATGGCGACGAGGTGTCCACGCACGGTCCTGGAGAGAGTGCCATTTTGTTTGCGCCTGCCGTTCTCATTGCCTTGGACTGGAGCTGGGTGGTGTTGAGAAGGCTCACCCCGTTGATGGTTGAAGAATTTTTGCATGCTAACGTAAAAACGAGCAAGGTTGGAGGCTGTGGGGAGGGTTTTGAAAAAATAGCAGAGGCGTGTAGTGCGTCAGGGATGGTGGCCTACATATTATGTGGACAATGGATGTCATCATTTGGCGAAGCCATAGATACCGTATGTGATATAATGATTCACCAAGATTTGGTCTAGATTGACGGAAGCTGAAAGACTGGTGCTTGAATGACTGGCTGTTGGGGGGTGATCGATCGATCGACTGTCGCGCATCGCTCCGAATTCGAGAAGGGAGGCCGAGGGAGGGTGCAAAAAGAAAATTGGGAAAAAAAGGAAAAGACAAAAAATTAGCACGTACGGTACGTTGATTTCCATGGCTAGTTTCCTCTGCACAGACTAGTAGTAACGTTGAGAGTGCTTGTCTCAGGTTCGGTCACTATATGGAATAATTATGGATGTATTTTAAGAATGAGGTCTGACTGTAGTCTTGAGAATCAGATGTGATTCCACGAATTATCGTATCAATCACGTCACAGAAAATCTGATTCCTCAAAGTAAATTGAATGTCTACGCTCCTATGTTCTCATGAAACATTGATAAGTCACTGTTTATTAATAGACAAGTCACTTGCAGTTGAGTTGTTGTGATTGTAGTATCCAGCAGCGGTCGAGACCCACGTCAGGAATACGGATCATGAAGGAGCCAGCATTCTTGGATGATTTGGATCCTGCACCGCACAAAGTCATTCAGAGGGAGGGGAAGCACGAGTCTCTTCCTTTAGCAATGACTGGCTTAACATTCTGACGTATATTCATTGGAAGTGCGGAGAAATTCAGGCCTGAAAATAATTCTATTTCATCCATTTCTACATATCAATACTAGTCTTGTACATCTTGTTGAGATGGGCTTTGAAGGCCATTAGAGTATGGTGAATTGGTGATTGGAAACCCTAAAGAACAGAGCGCCTTGATGTTGGCAATATGATAGGCTATACCCAATACAATTAGGGCTAGGGCTATATATGAATACTATATAAATAGATCATATATATAGATAGATAGAATATAAGAAAAGAACTTTATATAAGTAGATATAGGTCTAATATAAATATAAAAAGTCGCTTACTAAATTACTAAAGATTCGTTTCTTTAAGTTATTCGATTTCGGCTTATAGCTTATAATAAATCGAATTGCTTTAAAAGTTATATTTTAGTCTTTTAGATATATTAATTCTATATATATACTAAGTAAATTAATTATTCTAATATATTATAGTTATAGCTATATAACTATTATCTATAGCTATATAGCTATTATTAATAGCTATATTATCTATAGCTATATTTATCTATAACTATATAATTATAGCTCTTAATTATATTATAACTAATAATTATAAATTATAACTAATAATTATAAGTCGTTAAAATTAATACTCTCTCTTTATTTAATTATTAAGAAGATAGAGATAGTAGAGTAAATAGTTGATATTACTCTTCGAAAAAATCTCTATAGAGAAAGTAGAGAAAGTAGAGAAATAACGTAAACTTTTAATATAGTTCTCTAATTTATTCTTCTAAGATATATAATAGCCCTTATATATAATAAGATTATTTTAAGAAAGTAAATTTAAATCTTATATAATATCGAACTTTCTTAATAGCGATCTTCTAATTAGTTAAATAGCTATATATCTCTAATAGTTTTCTATACTATTTAAATAGCTTCTTATTAAATAATTTAATAAGAATATCTACTATTATTTAGACTATAAATATATAATCTATTATAACTACCTTATTTTTAATTAATTAATAAATATAATAATACTAGATATCGATATATTTAGTTCTTTAATAATACTCGAAATTCTTTATAAGATTAATAGTCTTCTTATTATTATCGAGTAATATTATAGAATCTTTATCTAATACTCGAAAACGAACTTCTTATAATTATTGTATAATTTATATAATAATCTTATTTCTTTCTATTAAGATTATATATTTAGCTTCTATAATAGATATAACTACTTCTTACTATTTTCGACTATATTATAAAAATATTACTTATTTATATAGTAGAGCGAATTCGTAGATAGACTTATAATTCTTCTAGTTATTATCGTATACTAAATTCGCGAATTCTTTTAATATTTCTATTTTTTAATAGCGTAGTTCTAGAGATATAATATCTTATATATACTTAAGTATTTAATTTACTATATTTATATAGCGAATAATAAGATTATAATTAAATTAATTAAGCTTTTCTATAATAAAGATTATATTAATTTATATATTAATTATAAGAAATATAAGATTTTCTATTCGCTTCTAATATTATAACTAATTTATATATTCTTTCTCTAATCGACTTAATTAAATTAATTTATATTTATTAATAAAGATATAAATAAGAGTCGTCTAATTTATTAAATATTCTTTAAATATCTTTTTAACGTATTATACTTATTTAATAATTAAGATATAGAATTTCTAATTATAATAAACTTAAATATCGAGAATATAATTAATTAAATCTACTTTAATAATCTTAAATTCTTTATAAATTTAATACTTAATATAGTTTATAGTATTTTATAGCTTAATTTTAATAAGAATATTATTTATATAAAGTATTATAATAGTTATTTTCTCTAATAGTACTTAAATAAAGATATAGCTATTAATTATAATAACTATAAATTCTATTTTCTTAATAATATATTTAAATTTCTTATTTTAAATATAAGCTAATTATTTAAAATTATATAATTCTTTCTAGAGAAGTAATATTTTATTTTTAATACTAGTTATTAATAGATAGCTTAATAATAAAATTATATAGATTTTCTTATAGAAATCGCTATTAAGATAAGTATTATTAATATTTATTTATTCTATTAAAAGATCTATTATTATTATATATAATAGAAATAAATATAGAAAGTTAAATCGTAGAGTGAAAGTAAAGATCTTATAAAAGTCGATATTTTCTATTTATATAAATTCTCTAATAATAAATCTAATCTTAAATTTATTAATAATTTTATCGCTATTATATTTAATTTTAAAAATTTATTTATAGATAATTAAGCGTCTATTAATCGATAGAATAGCGAGTTTTTAAATTCCTTTAATAATTAAAGTAATAATTTTCTTAATAATAATTTACTTTTATTTACGAGCGTTTAATTTATAAATAGCTTTTTAATAAATAAAGAATTTAATTATAATAATTATAAGCTTAATTTTATTCTTTATATTAAAATTATTATAAAACTTATAGAAATTATAATCTAGCTTCTTAATATAAGATTATTATATAAAGATAACGATCTAAGATATAAGACGTCGCTTAATACGATTAGAAGAGTTAGAAATAAATATAAATATAATAGATTATTAAATATTAATCTTAGATATCATCTCTTAATTTATTATTTTCTTATTATTTAAGATATTAAGAGTTTCTTTAGCTTCGCGAAGATCTAGCGAAGATTTCGGTTTAATTTAATATATATTTAAGCTATTTAATCCTAAATCTCTATTATTATTTATATTCTCTAGAAAGTTAGTAGAAACTTCTTCCTCTATTTAAATTTTTTATATATCTTT